ACTTGAAGCACCAAAGTACTTATCTCGACAGGGTATCTCCATGCGGACCTCACAGAATTCCCCTAAGAAATTATACAAAACATTAAAACTCTAAATTGAAGTGAATCTTAAGTTCAACAGTGAGAGATTTGCGTTGCATATCGTTAACTGGCGAATTCGCCCCACAACAAGTTCGCGCCTAATCACCAGTACCAGTTCGCCCGAAATCATTGAGATTTTTTTTATTTAATGAAAAAAAAAAAAAAAAAAAAATGAAAAAAAAAATCCACTAACCAGTGTACTGTTGAGGACAAACACATCGGAATCCCTTTCCATGGTTTGAACTATCACATTTGCCATGTCGGCACGGCTTAAGAGAACATACGCGCACGCAGTGTTTACCAACGTAACCTACGGGACATATGCATTTGTAGGAGTCGAATTCCTCTTGGCACGTACTGTAGTCTGGACAAGGGTTCGATGAGCAGTGGCTTCCCATTTTCTCTTCACAACCAGATGGATGCTGTTTTGTGATTGACTCCAGAGTTCATGTTGATCTCAGTGCTCCCGACAAAAACCCCTACGGATAGGGAAAGAGGGAGGTTAGTGTCTCCTCATATAAACGGGTAACCGAGTTGGACCGTTTCGGAGAGGCCTCAGCCTATGTTTTAAAACGAGCCCAGATACGATACTTCTCATAGGAAAATAAATTATTTTGCAAACGAAGCTATTTTCACGAAAAAGGAGTCGGAAATGGCCTAATATTCATACATCCACTATTGCCATGCTCACTCCAATAGCACAGTTTCAGCCCTTACTACATAAACAAGCACGCACGAACACACATGCACGCGCTTGTACGCACCTGCTCGCACACGCACGTGCACACGCACATACGCACTCACACTAACGCTCCAAACCTAACCTTTAGTCTGTCTTGCCTTTCTGTGATGTTTTTCATTTAAATTATTAACAAGTAATAACACGATTTATCTTGCAATTTAGTGTAATAGGTACTTATAAATTTTTCAAAGACTACAAACTTCACTCGCCCTACAGCTAGTGCAATTTTGTGGTACTGAAAAATTTACTCGAGCGTATTAACACCAAATTCGGCACTCGAAATCGTGTTATTACCTATACTCATAAACAACTATCTTTTCCTCCAA